AAAAATTAAACTTCCGAAGAATACGTTACTTGCATCTCCTAGTAGTTACTGAATGCTACCTTAAAAAATAAGCACTCTTTTAAAATAGCGAAATTCCTTTTCTTTGTCTTTGATAAACACCTGAGTGTGTTAAAACTTAAGAGCTGGATGGCTTGTTATCATTCTCCTTTTACCTAGACCACCCCTGCTTCATTCTGTAGCCATATCCATTTAACATGTGATTCTCACAAATTTTAACAGTTGAAAAACAAACAGCTGGCTGAACTCTCTGCTTCAGTCTTTTGGATACTTTGCTTCTTGGTAAGTGATCAGTATTTTGATACTGCTGTAGTAATAACAGGAAATGATCTGTTAAAATCTGGATCTCCAGCTATAGATGAATGCCAGGGTAAAGAGGAGAGCTAGTCTCAGAATAAAGTCTATAAAAACAGTTTGGGAAATTACTCCTAGGACCACAGGGAGAGACTCATAATTTACTCCCAACATCAGAAAAGCAAATGCAAAGTGGAAGAATATCTTATGATGATCACTGAACTTCATCAGTGGAAAGCTTACGGCCACAAACCCGTCATTAAAACAACTGAAATGGTAAATGCTAGAGCTTCTGTAATACAGGAGGTGAAATATCATTTCCTGAAATAAAAATTCAGCCAGGAAAAGGTTTCATAAGCAAGTAGAACACTTATAGATTGGTCCAACTGTAATTTTGCCTATATGTGCAAAATAGTAAGTGGGTTCTATTCACCAGAAAGGACAAGAGAAGACAAACGATGGTAATGGGATTAGCCACAGAATAAAGAGAGGGTACTTTCACCTAAGGAGTCATAGGAGAAGTGGGGAAAGCCAAAACAATGTGGGCAAAAGAAAATAATCTTGGTGTTATAATGGCTAAAAGAACAGAAGGCATGGTAACTAAAATTGCTTTTCAAGATTGTGTTTTAATTGTTGGAAACTTTCAAACAAGAGTAAATATACAAAACATCACTTAATTCTGAAACACAAATCATCTGTTTCAAATTAATTGTTACTCATAAAAACAATGACAGTCTGGATTCAAGAATAGGCTTGAAAAGTAAATAACTAGATGATATTACAAATAGTCTTTCTTTTAAAAATTCCACTTTCTCCACAAATGTCTTAGCTTTACCTCCATCTTCCTGAAGAGAAAGTCAACTCTCCATTCTACCCCCTTGCCCATCAGAGATTTTACCACTCTAATTTCTGATTTGGCTAAGTAGAGAGAGACCTATTACTTCCCCTAATAGACTAGAAGCAACTGGAAAACAAGGTCTGCATCAGATTTACATTGGTTTCTTGATTAAATCTAAGTTAATACCCAAAATCTACTAGTCTTTTTTAGAGTTGTGTATTTATTAGTATTCAATGAACTCCTATATTTTAAAATTCCAGTTTTTACAGTTTCTTACATTTCCCCAGCTAATAAACTCATTTTCAAAGTATCTTACATTTTAGATTATATGTGAAACTTAAAAATTTAAATCTTAAAACTGCATGGTTTGTCCAATACTCAAAAGTATTTACTGATTATAAATGAATGAGTGAATTAATTTGCTGTCACTGTTTTATTAACTGTTAAAATGGTTCTTCAGTCTTAGGTTTTTTACATTCAGATCCTTTCAGTAACACATAAAACTACTTCAGATCTAGCATCTTTGAATGATTACTATGTGAAACAGGTAGAATAAGCTATTTTTTAATCAGCTTTATTGAGGTATAATTGACATGAAATAAACTACACATATGTAAAGTGTATAATTTGATACATTTGTACATATGGATATATCTGTGAAACCAGTATCACAATCCAGATAATGAACATAGCTATCATTCCCCAAAATAGTCCATCCTTCCCTACTTCTCCACACTTCCCATCCTATACAATCATGGATCTGTTTCTGTCATATATGTATTTTCTAGAATTAAAAAAACAAAAACAAATTGTATATACTTTTTTGTATGGCTTCTTTCTCTCAGCATAATTATTATGAAAATTTATCCATGTTGTTGCATGTATTAATTTTTCATTTTTATTGCTAAGTAGTATTCTATTATGTGAGTATATGAACATTTGTTCATATATTTTCCTACTGATCAATATTTGGGTTGTTTCCAGTTTTCAAGTATTACAAATAAAGTTATGAATATTCTTTGTATAAACACACTTTTTTTTTTCTGTCGGGTAAATATCAAGAAGTGAAATGACTGGATCACATAATAGGTATATGTTTATTTATTTATTTTTTTAAAGATTTTATTTTATTATTTTATTTTATTTTTATTTTATTTTTTAAGATTTTATTTATTTATTCATGAGAGACAGAGAGAGAGAGAGAGAGAGAGAGAGAGAGAGAGAGAGGCAGAGACACAGGCAGAGGGAGAAGCAAGCTCCATGCAGAGAGCCTGACGTGGGACTCGATCCGGGATCTCCAGGATCAGGCCCTGGGCTGAAGGCGGCACTAAACCACTGAGCCACCCAGGCTGCCCTATGTTTAACTTCTTAAGAAATTACTGAACTATTTTACAAAGTGGTTATACAGTAACTGCAATTTCACCATCATTGGGAGGTCCAGTTCCTCATCTTTGCCAATGCTTGCAATTGTCTTTTTAACAGCAGCCAGCCTAGCAGTTGCAACATGGTATCTCACTGTGTGTGTTTGTTTAAGATTTTATTTATTCATGAGAGACAGAGAGAGAGAGAGAGAGAGGCAGAGACACAGGCAGAGGGAGAAGCAGGCTCCATGCAGGGAGCCTGATGCGGGGCCCCAATCCCAGGACCCCAGGATCACGCCACTGAGCCACCCAGGTGCCCCTCATTGTGGTTTTACTTTGCATTTCACTAATGTCCAGTGAAGCTGAGCATCTCTTTACAAACTCATTTGCCAATTCAATATCTTCCTTGGTAAAATGACTATTCAAATTTTCTGCTTACTTTATTGGGTTGTGTTCTTTTGAGTTGTAAGAATTCATTATATATTCTAGATATAAATCCTTTGTCGGGTATATTACTTGCACTTTTAAAAGAGAAATGCAACTACTTTAGATAATTATCCTTTGCCAATATACATGGTCTATCTGTGTTTTAAATAATCCTTATAAAAAGGGATGCATTATCTCCATAATACTCAGCTACCAAGTTTTCCCATGCCTAATAAAGGTGATCAGCCAGCTGGCATATAAAAAATAAAGAATAAGAGTAGAAATAGAAAACATACTGATTTTCTCAACATTCTTCTTTATCCCTCCTGATTTTAGTAGGCTCTTAACAAACTATTAATAGGAGATAACAGAGTGGATCATGTAAATGATAATTAGTCCTCTTCCTTGTTTCTTCTAAGCAAAATTTTAAAAAGGATTTAGCAAATAGTAACATTACTAATAAAACCTTCTGTACTTTTTATTAGATTTCTCTCTTTTCCTAAGACCCTATGTTTATATGAATGTTTTCCTTATTAGACTAAAGCAAAACATTAAATACAGTACCTAGTGAATACTGCTATTATTTTCTTGATTCTCTCCTTTTCTCTTTTCTTTCTTTCTTTTTTTTTTTTTTTGTTTCGTTTTGTTTTAAGTAGGTTCCATACCCAGCATGGAGCCCAACATAATAGGACTTGAACTCACAACCCTGAGATCAAGACCTGAGCTGAGAGAGACACTTAACCAACTGAGCCACCCAGGTGACCCTCTTTCCTTTTCTTTTAATTCTTATCCATATGTTTTCCTCTCTTCTACCATTTCCAGCATCACACATCTACATTTGGATTAATGTGCTGATCCGAAATGAGTCTTGGTTACACATTTTTTTTTGGTGACGCTAGAGATCACCTACCATGCTTACTTCAAAGAAACAAAATGAAAATAACAATAAAACTCTTTTTGGAACTCATAGAAAGAACAGCAGAGATTCTACTGAGTGAAAAAATGAAACCTTTTTTTATAGTATTCATGTAAATTAGTACTCCTTGCCAGAATAAAGCATATACCTAATTATTTTTTAAACTTTACTATTTAATGGATTAAAGACCTAAATGTGAGACCTGAAACATAAAACTCTAAAAAGAAAACACAGGCAGTAATCTGTTGAACATCAGCTTTAGCGTATTTGTGGATTTTTCTCCTCAGGCAAGTGAAACAAAAGCAAAAATAAAATATTGGAAAAAAAAAAAACAAAAACAAACAAACAAAAATAAATAAAATATTGGGACTATATCAAAATAAAAAGCTTTTGCACAGGAAAGGAAACCACCAATAAAACAAAAAGGCAATCTACTGATTGAGAGAAGATATTTGCTATGATATATCAATAAGAAGTTAATACCCAAAATATGTAAAGAACCTACACAATCTAACACCAAAAAACAATGTGATTAAAAAATAGGCAAAGCAACTGAATAGACAGTTTTCCAAAGAAGACACTCAGATAACTAACAGACACATGAAAAAATGCTCAATATCACTAATCACCCAGGAAATGCAAATCAAAACCATAATGAGGTATCACCTCCCACCTGTCAGAATGGCTATTATCAAAAAGACAAAAAATAACAAGTGTTGAGAAGGATATGGAGAAAAGGGAACTCTTACGCATTGTTGGTGGGAATGTAAATTGATGGAACCACTGTCGAAAACAGTATGGAGGATCCTCAAAAAGTAAAAAACAGAACTACCATAAGGCACCTGGGTGGCTTAGTTGGTTAAGTTTGCCTTCTGCTCAGGTCATGATCTCTGGGTCCTGGGATTGGATCCCACGTTAGGGTCCTGGCTCAGTGGGGAATCTGCTTCTCCGTTTCACTCTGCCTCTCCCCACCACCACCCATACCCCCCCAGCTCATGTGTGCACACACTGTCTTTATGTCTCAAATAAATAAATAAAATCTTAAAAAAAAAAAAACAAACAAACAAAGAAGAACCACCATATGATCCAGCAATTCCACTGCTTTGGGTATTTACCCAAAGAAAACAAAAACACTAATTCAAAAAGATATATGCAACCCTATGTTTATTGAATGATTATTAACAATAGCCAAGATAAGGAAGCAACCTAAAGTGTCCATCAGTAGTTGAACAAAGAAGATGTGCTATATAAATACACATGATAGAATATTACTCAGCCGTAAAAAATGAGATCTTGCCATTCATGATATCGAGGGACCTAGAGGGTATTATGCTAAGTGAAGTAAATCAAATAAAGAAAGACAAAGACCATCCGATTTCACTTATATGTGTAGTCTACAAAACCAAACGAACTCTCAAACATGGAGAACAAACTGGTGGTTGCTAGAGGGAAGGGAGTTAGGGGGATGGGTGGAACAGGCAAATGGGATTAAGAGTTATAAAATAAATAAAACGTGGAAATTAAAAGTACAACACAGAAAATATAGTCAATTACTTTGGTGATAGATGGTGACTACACTCATCTTGGGGAGCACTAAGTAACATATAGAATTATCAAATCACTATGTTATACACTTGAAACAAACAGAACATTGTATGTTAACTATACTTCAATTAAAACAAAAAAAGAACGAAAACTTTATTACTTAAGACTTCAGTCTACCCAGCAATGCAAGAACCACCAAGGAATCAATTAACCAATCTGTGGAAGCTCTTGTAGCTAAACAATGATCCTCCTAAAAAGTAATAGACATATGGGGGGAAAAATTGATACAGAATCAAATCTAATCATTTTAAACCATGGAAAGAAAGCACATTTAAGTTCCTTTAAAATATTTTTATATACAAAGAACAATTTTATATACCTTTAAAATTTTTAGGAGAATCATTATCCCTCATTATGCTTCAGTGTCAGACACAAATTTGAAATGAACTCTTCTATAAGCAGCAGAACTGGGATAAATAGCAGATGATACTAGCAATCTCTGACCCAATATCAGGATTTAAAGAACCCTGGGATTAAAAGTATTTCATGTAAGTAATTATGTCATAATTACCTATATTCTCCAAATCAGAATGGTTCTCATAAGACACCTAATGCTAAGGTATTTTGACACTGTTTTTTAAAAGGTACCATATTAAAAAAATAAGCTTCCTCTAGAGAAAGGAAAAAAAATAATTTTGGCCTATTAAAGATAGTATCTATTGATAAAATATTGTTCCCAAACATGCAATAAATTATTACCTAATGCATGTTCACTGTATGAAATAATCACTTAGTAAAAAATTGTGTATCTCTTAAAATTTTCAGTTCAATTGTTTTTCTTTTGATATACTGAAAAATTTAATGATTGGCTTTAAATCTTTTTTTAATAATGTAAAATATGTGAGCTTTATTATATGTTAAAGAAAATAAAAATAGGATGACCCAAAATTTACTCATTAAAGTTACAATAAAGTACTCTTTGATGCATACAAAATTGCAAAATAACTGATGCTTTTTTCAATAAAGATTCCAGATATATTTACTGATGAGATAAAACAATGATATGTTTAATGACTTTTGTTCTGTGTTAAGGTCACCTTATTGAACGATACATCATGAAATCGATAGTTGTACATCTAGGAAATTTACCAATGGAGCTCTCTTCCACTGGTGTGTATATTTTAATTTGTCTCATGTGGGTGTCTCTTCCATTTTGGTGATTGGCTAGAACAGCAATCTGTATCATGAATGTGCGAGTTGGCTTCTTATGGTTATCAGTTAAGGGAACATGAATCCAGCCACTTGGTTCCACCAATTCAAGTTGCTGCCAAGAAAACAGAAGTCAGATTATATTTTTACCCAATGAATATAATTTATTATAATGAATACACTTTAAAGTTGGCTTATAATTAACATTTTGCTCACTGAGAGAATGACAGTATAACAACCATTACCAGTTATTTGGCATTTTTACATCATGATCCATTCTTACACTTGCTAATAAGCACTCTACATGTACCATGTTACAAAATAAAAATAGATGTACGCAGTCTTAGTGTTTACAGAAACCTGTATACCATTCAAGTTCAGAATCAGACATCAGACATGTATTAATGTATATAGCCAATGGAAGACCATGTTGATATAAGTAGGAAAAGAATCTAATGTTATATCTCAGGTATACTTTATTTCAAGGACCATACCTAATATACCCGAAACACATTTAAGAATAAATCAGATTATATATAAACTTCAAAAAATATTAACAAAAGAAAATCAATAATTAAAAAAAAAACAGACAGCTTTTTTTTTCTTGAACAACAGTAAGTGATTTATCTACTCTGGATGATATTCTAAGCCTAAAATCTAGATTTTTAATAAGAAATGCCAGATAAATTTTTTTAATTCTTAATTTTATTTTAATCAAGAGTCCAAAATATCCTTCCTTAACAAGGGAAAGAAAATCATAAGTCAAAAGGTAAACCTAAGTTTCTAAAATGTTTTCTTTGAAGTAGTTTTTAAAAGATAAATACTTATTTCTAAATTATCTTAATTATTGAACATATGTAAACTATATACATCACCAAAAACACAGGTTTACTTTAACAACACAACCAAATGGCAGTGTCAAAGAATCTAAATCTGGATTCTATGAGTTACTCTACTAAAACAATTAATTGAACACGACTGTATCTTCTTATTTTCCTTTCCTCTCTCCCTTCTTTCTTTTTTCTTTCTTTCACTCTTTTTCATTTCTCTCCTTTTCCTTCTTCCCTCTTTCCCTTCTTCCTTCCTTCCCTTCTTCTTCTTTCTTTATTCTTTTATTCATTTTTTTTTTTAATGGAGGAGAAGGGTGGGTAGATAAAAATAGAGACGTGGACAAGACAAAGAGAAAAGGAATCCTATGAAAAGGTAGTTATTTTTTTAAGACTGAATGATTTCTCCTTTTAACTATAGAATGTAAGAATGAATAAATCTCTACTCCTCATAGTATTTTTAGTCAGTGGTTGTTGTTGCTTTTAAAAAACTTGTATCAGTGCTAACTTACCCTTAAAAAAGAGGGGGGGAGGGGATCCCTGGGTGGCTTAGCAGTTAAGTATCTGCCTTTGGCTCAGGGTGTGATTCTGGAGTCCCGGCATCGAGGCATCGAGTCCCACGTCAGGCTTCCTGCATGGAGCCTGCTTCTCCCTCTGCCCGTCTCTGACTCTCTCTCTCTTTATGCCTCTCATGAATAAATAAATAAAATCTCTTAAAATAAATAAATAAATAAATAAATAAATAAATAAATAAATAAATAAATAAATAAATAAATAAAATATTTTATTTCCTTATTCATGAGAGACATAGAGAGGTAGAGACACAGGCAGAGGGGGAAGCAGGCTCCATGCAGGGAGCCCAATGTGGGACTCGATCCCAGAACTCCAGGATCCTGCCCTGGGCCAAAGGCAGCAGCTTGTGGTGCTGACATTTCTGATGTGGGTGGGATTCACTACGCTGATGCTGTGTTAGAAAAACTGCAAAATGAACTCAGATATCGCTATGGGAAGGAACTGCTGCTGTGGAGAAACACTGCTAGGATGATGGAAAGCAAACAGGACAATTAACAGAGGGAAGTAAGTCTCTTCCTCTTCCTGCCCTGCAGTCTCCCTCTAGCCTACCCTTTTACCAGAACTTAACAGCCAGGCAAGAGCTCCACATACATGAAATCTTTACTGAGAAACCATTATGTGTTGAACAATGTTATAGGGGCTAAAAATAAAAAATACAGTGGCGGGCAGCCCCGGTGGCTCAGCGGTTTAGCGCCGCCTGCAGCCCAGGGTGTGATCCTGGAGACACTGGATCGAGTCCCACATCAGGCTCCCTGCATGGAGCCTGCTTCTCCCTCTGCCTGTGTCTCTGCCTCTCTCTCTCTCTCTCTCTCCTCTCCTCTCTGTGTATTCTCATGAATAAATAAATAAAATATTTAAAAAAAAAAAAAAAAAAAAAAAAAAAATACAGTGGCAAATAAGATCATGCCTGAAAAAAACTACTCAAAGAGGTACAAAAAGATAGGGTTTAAACATGACTTCAGGGGCAGCCCAGGTGGCTCAGCTGTTTAGCACCACCTTCAGCTCAGGGCCTGATCCTAGAGACCTGGGATCGAGTCCCACGTCAGGCTCCCTGCATGGAGCCTGCTTCTCCTTTGCCTGTTGTCTCTGCCTCTCTCTGTGTGTGTCTCTCATGAATAAATAAAATCTTAAAAAACAACAACAACAACACATGACTTCAAGAAAGAAGTCATAATAAAAATACTAGTAGTGAGGAAGAAAAATCAACAAAAAGAATAAAAAAATCAATATACTTATAAAATAAAATGTGTCAATAATAATTCCTCAAAAAGAATGCTAATGACAATAATAGCAGCAAGTGCTTACCTGGCACTATTATGTGCCAGGTACTGTTCTAAGTGCATTAAGTATATTAATTTACTTAATCCTAGCAATGAGGCAGGTATTATTATCCTGCTGTCACAAATGAGACAAGTGAGACACAGAAAAGTTAAGTAATTTCAGTGAAGCCACACAGCTGGTAAGTGGCAGAGCTGTGATTCAAACAGGCAGTATGATTCCAGGGACTATGCTTTTATAAATATAATGTGTTTTATATTATATAAAGATAATAATTTAGTGGCTATAATTTTATCTGAAATCCTATATTATACAAAAAAAACCATGAATTAAATGAATTATGGATAGGAGACAATTCCCCACAATCGTATCATAACACAATTTCCTTTTAAGCCAACACATAAACATATACACATATAACATAAAGGGAATTATAAAAGAGAACAATAATAGAATTAAATATATATTTCAATTTCAAAAATCTTAAAGAGGAAAAAAGTAAATAGTATTATATATACTAAAAAAAGTTTTCATGTTTTAAAATTTTTTATTTATTATTTTTTATATATATTGAAAAAAGTTTTTTTTTTAAAAAAACATGGTAGGGTGGTATATAGAAAGTATAAAATAAGTTGATAAAAGATATATGCATCAAACATCATCTTTAAAAAAATCAGGGTCTTGGGGTGCCCAGCTGGCTCAATTGGTGGAGCATGTAACTCTTGATCTCAGGGTTGTAAGTTTGAGCAGCACGTTTGGTAGAGAGATTACTTAAAAATAACATCTAAAAAACAAAAACAGGTTCTCTTGAGAATATTATGCTAGTGAAATGTGCCAGTCATAGAAGAACAATACTGCATGATTCCACTCACGTAAGGTACCTGCTAGTGTAGTCAAATTCAGAGACAGAAAGTAGAATGATGTTTGCCAGGGGCTGCAGGGAGAAGGGAATGGGGAGTTAGTGTTTAATAGGTATGGAGTCTCAGTTTGGGAAGATAAAACAGTTGTAGAGGTGGATGGTGGTGATGACTGTACAACAATGTACTTAATGCCACAGAACTGTACTTATAAATGATTAAAATGGTAAATTTTGGGATCCCTGGGTGGTGCAGCAGTTTAGCGCCTGCCTTTGGCCCAGGGCGCGATCCTGGAGACCTGGGATCGAATCCCACATCGGGCTCCTGGTGCATGGAGCCTGCTTCTCCCTCTGCCTGTGTCTCTGCCTCTCTCTCTCTCTCTGTGTGTGTGACTATCATAAATAAATAAAAATTAAAAAAAATGGTAAATTTTATGTTATGTATATTTTACCATACAAAAACTCCAGTTCTCCGTTCAACAAAAAAAACCCAAGTCATGTGGTGATATTGAAACCCTAAAATACTGCTGGCTGTAAAATACTGTACTGGCTGTACATTTTACACTGTAAAATAGTGCCACCACTTTGGAAAATCATCTCACAGTTCCTCAAGTGATTAAACATAGTTACCAGATGATCAGCAATTCTATCCTCAGATATATATCCCAAAGAAATTAAAACACATGTTCACCCAAAAAATATGTACACAAATGTTTATAACAGCATTATTCATAGTAGCCAAAAGATGCAAACAACCTAAATGTCCCACAGTTGATGAATGGATAAATAAAATAGGCCATACTCATACAATGCAATATAATTTAGCAATAAAAAGAAATGAAGCGCTGATATATACATAAATACTTTGAACCTTGAAAGTAAGTGAAATAAGCTGGTCACAAAGGACTACATTCTATATGATTCCATTTATATCAATGTCCAAAGTAGGTAAATCCATACAGACAAAAAGTAAATTGGTAATCGCGTAGGGCCGAATAGTGGTGGTGGTGGGGTGCAGGGGATGGGAAGTGATTACTTATCAGTAAGTACATGGTTTCTTTTGGGGGTCATAAAAATGTTCTAAAACTGGTGATGCTTGTACAACTCCATGAACACACTAAAAACCAAGGTTATACATCTTAAATTAACTACATAGTATGTAAATTATATCTCAGTAAAGCTGACTATATATAAAAAAAGGCAAATATGTTTTAATACAGTGATTAAGAAATATTCTAAATACACCAATAAAAAGAAATTAAAAAAAAGAAATATTCTAAATACAAGCAAATGTTAAAAATATACTTGACAAATGAAATCAAAGAGAAAACAGAGAGAGAGAGAGAGAGAGAGAGAGAGAGAGAGATATGCCTGGGTGGCTCAGTCAGTTAAGTGCCTGATTTCTGATCTCAGCTCAGGTTTTAATCTCAGGATCATGAATTCAAGCCCCATGTTGGGCTTTAAAAAAAAAAAAAGGAAAGAAAGAAAGAAAGTAGAACTATAAATATTAATTAGATTCTTAAGTTTTTCTGGGGAAAAATGGGGGAGGATAAGAAAAGTTAATATCCAAAAGAGAAAAAT